GATGAATGAGATATGGCCGGAAAACCACCGGAGAAGAGGGTGGGGCGATTTTCCGGTGAGAAAAAGAGAGAGTTTGACCAAAAAAAATTGAGGAGAGAGAGGGAGAGTCTCGGCCGAGCGGGTTTTTAAAAAATTTCGGGGGTAATTACGGGCACGATTACGGCCGTAATCCCCCGTGGCATGCCCGTAATTTATATGCCGAGAGCATATTGCCCCTGTGAATTAATTACGGTCAGGGGGTCGAAGAATTACGGCCGTAATTCGGCCCCCCATGCCCGTAATTTTATGGCCGAGCCCTTTTTCCTCTTCTAGCTTAATTACGGGCAGGGGGTCGAAGAATTACGACCGTAATTTGGCTCCCCATGCCCGTAATTTCATCGCCGAGGCCCTGTTCTCCAGTTTTTTTGAGCTGCAATTTCGAACAACCAAACCCAAACGTGCCCTGGCTCGAAAAAGGACACCACCGTAGACAAAAATAGACCATCCGGGGCACGAGAAACATTCCAGAAAGACTCCAGACAGACTCAATGACTCGAAAACGACAAAAATTAAAAAAAAAGAAAAAGGATAGAAATGCAAACCGAGGTGGGGTTGCCTCCCCACAAGCGCTTCTTTACCGTCTTTTAGCTGGACGCCAGTAGAGGAACTAAGGGTCCTCGAGCTTGATCAGCAGCTCTGCGCGCTCGACAGCACCTCCCAAATACAACTTTAGGAGGTGGCCATTCACCTTGAATGGCTCGGTTTGAGCATTGCTGATCTCCACCGCACCGTGCGGGAAAACTTGGGTGACCGTGAAGGGTCCCGACCACCTCGAAAGGAGCTTGCCCGGGAAGAGTTTCAGGCGTGCATTGAAAAGCAGAACACGATCACCTACCTGAAACTCTTTCGGGCCCCTCAACCGAGCGTCGTGGAGACGCTTGGTGCGCTCCTTGTAGAGCAGGGTGTTCTCGTAGGCGTGGTAACGCCACTCCTCCAACTCCAGCAGCTGCAACTTACGTTCTGTGCCTGCAACACTCAAATCAAGGTTTAGCAGCTTAATGGCCCAGAAGGCCTTGTGCTCTAGCTCTACCGGCAAATGGCACGCCTTCCCATAGACAAGCCTATAGGGAGAAGTGCCAATCGGATTTTTATAGGCAGTCCTATACGCCCAAAGAGCATCATCGAGCTTGGTGGACCAATCCTTGCGGGACTGATCCACCGTCTTTTCAATAATTCGTTTTAGCTCCTGGTTCGTCAGCTCGGCCTGCCCATTTGACTTGGGATGGTAGGCCACCGACACCTGATGCTTAACACCATAGCGAGAGAGGAGTTTAGTGAATTGCCCTTGAAAATGGGTTCCTCTATCACTGACGATGGCGCGGGGTGTCCCGAACCGGGAGAAAAGCTGCTTCAGAAATGAGCAGACCCGTCTTGCATCATTGGTGGGCATGGCTTGAGCTTCTGCCCACCTCGAGACGTAGTCTACTGCAACCAATATGTACAGATTGCCAAAAGATGGAGGGAATGGTCCCATGAAATCGATACCCCAAACATCAAAAATTTCACAAATAACAGAGATATGTTGGGGCATCTCATCCCGGGAAGAAATGTTACCTGACCTTTGGCAGCGGTCGCACTGGCGTGCGAAGGAGTCTGCATCCTTGAAGAGCGAGGGCCAATAGAAGCCCGATTGTAGCACCTTCCGCGCCGTGCGGTTACCTCCATGGTGACCTCCAGTAGGTCCCTCGTGGCATTGAGACAGGATGTCTCCCATCTCGTGCTCCATGACACAGCGCCGGATCACGCCGTCTGCTCCGATTCTGAAGAGGTAAGGATCCTCCCAGAAGTAATGCTTCAGATCGGAGAAGAACTTGCGCTTTGCATGAGTAGCCATCCCCTTGGGTAACTGCTTGCCCACCAGATAATTGGCAAAGTCGGAATACCACGGGGTCACGCTGTCCACCAGTGTCATCGCCAGCAATCGCTCACCCGGGAAGGAGTCATCGATCTCTTCCACGAAGTTGTCCACCGGAGGAGCTTCCAACCGTGAAAGATGATCTGCAGCAACATTCTCGGCTCCTTTCTTGTCCCGGATCTCTATGTCGAATTCCTGCAGAAGCAGGATCCAGCGGATGAGCCGAGGCTTTGCATCAGCCTCGATCATCAAGTAGCGAATCGCCGAGTGATCTGTGTAGACCACCACATGTGAGAGCACCAGATATGGCCGGAACTTGTCAAATGCATACACCACAGCGAGGAGCTCCTTCTCAGTGGTGGTGTAGTTTTCCTGTGCATCGTTCAAGGTCTTCGACGCGTAGTAGATGGGCTGGAAGTGCTTCTCGCGTCTCTGACCTAGAACTGCTCCGACTCCATAGTCACTCGCATTGCACATCAGCTCAAAAGGGAGAGACCAGTCAGGAGTTACCATGATAGGGGCATGGGTCAGCTTCTCCTTCAGAGTCTCAAATGCAGCTGTGCACTCGGGAGTGAACTGGAATGGTGCATCCTTCTCTAGCAGCTTGGTCAAAGGTAGGGCAATCTTCGAGAAATCTTTGATGAAGCGCCGGTAGAAGCCTGCATGACCTAGAAAGCTGCGAATCCCCTTCACAGAAACAGGTGGAGGTAGCTGACTGATCGTCTCAATTTTCGCGCGATCCACCTCAATCCTCTGCTTGGAGATCTTGTGCCCGAGCACAATACCCTCACGAACCATAAAATGGCACTTCTCCCAGCTGAGTGCCAGATTCGTCTCTTCACACCTCTTCAGAACGAGTTCCAGGTTATGGAGACAATGAGAGAAGGAGTCTCCATAAACCGAGAAGTCATCCATGAAGACTTCCATGATCTCTCCAACCAGTCGGTCGAAGATCGCCAGCATGCATCTCTGGAAGGTCGTCGGTGCATTACACAGCCCAAATGGAATCCTCCGGTAAGCAAAGGTACCGAAGGGGCATGTGAATGTGGTCTTCGCCTGATCCTCCGGAGCAATAGGAATCTGGAAGTAACCAGACATGCCATCCAGGAAGCAATAGAACTCATGGCCAGCCAACCTCTCCAGCATCTGATTAATGAAAGGTAGGGGAAAATGATCTTTCCTGGTGGCGTCATTCAGGCGCCGGTAATCGATGCAGACTCTCCAGCCGGTCACGGTCCGCATCGGGATCAACTCCTTCTTCTCATTCGGGACCATAGTCATCCCGCCTTTCTTCGGGACCACCAGGGTGGGGCTGAACCACTTGCTATCAGATATAGCAAAGATGATCCCTGCATCCATGAGCTTCACAATCTCTGCCCGGACCACTGCCACCAAGTTAGGAGACAATCTCCTCTGTGGCCGCCTGACTGGCTTAATCTCATCCTCCATCAAAATTCTGTGGGAGCAGAAGGATGGGCTAATGCCTCTAATGTCTGTGATCTTCCATGCCATGGCCCGGGCATACTTCTGCAGCAGAGCCACCAGCTTGCTCTTCTGCTCGGGTGTCAGATCCGAGCTTATAATAACCGGGAGCTTATTCCCCTCCCGGAGAAATGCATACTCCAGGTGAGATGGGAGGGGCGTAAGCTCCAACTCTAGTGGCTCCTCCAATGATGTAGCGAGCCTGGGCGAGATGGGGATCGGCTTGAATGGTATCTCTCGCCCCTCGATCATGGCCTCGTCCAGCTCTGCTAGCTGCTCCTCCAGCTGCACATCCTGTGATGCCTGTTTCCCTAGCAAAAGACAACGCTCAAGGAAATCATCAGTACCCGCACTCGTGATGGCGAGTGCGGTCTCAAAATCAGCAACAACATCACAGTAATCTAGATCATCATGGAGCTGGGGGTGTTTCATATTATCAGAAACAGAGAAGGTGATTTGTTCACCCCCAGCTCTCAAAATCAGTTTTCCATCATTAACATCAATAAGCGCCTTGGCGGTGGCGAGAAAAGGTCTACCCAGTATCAAAGACACATCAACATTCTCATTTATGTCCAAAATCACAAAATCCACAAGATATGAAAATGACCCTACTGCGACTATCAAGTCCTCTGCTATACCCCTAGGATGCACAATGGATCTATCAGCAAGTTGAATGCTCATCCTAGTATCACTGGGTTCTCCTAGGCCTAGCTTTTTAAACAGTTTATAAGGCATGACATTTATGCTAGCGCCTAAATCCGCCAAGGACTTCCCTACATGCAAACTACCAATCATGCAAGGGATAGTGAAACTCCCTGGATCTTTTCGCTTCTATGGTAGTTTGTTCTGCAGGATGGCAGAACACTCTTCGTTGAGCATCACCGTTGACAGCTCCCCAAGCTTCCTCTTGTTGGTGAGGAGATCCTTCATGAACTTGTCATACTTGGGCATCTTCGATAATGCCTCCACGAAGGGCGTGCTAATGTTTACCTGCTTCAGCATTGCCATGAATTTGGCAAACTCAGTCTCCAGTCGGTCCTTGTGCAACCGAGTAGGAAAGGGAAGCTGTGGTACATACTCCTTCACCACTGGTTGCGGTTTAGGAGCAGGCACCTCAACCTCCTTCTCCATGTCTTCCTGATTAGCTGGAAGTGCTGAAGCAGGGGTCTCTCTCTCCTCTGCCCGAACAGGTGGATCAGCAGTCACCTTGCCAATCCTGGTTGTGATGGCACTGCAGTTGGCATTCGGGTCCTGGGGAGCTGGTGGTTTGGGATTTGCCCCAGCCCAAGAAAAGTTAGGATGCTGGCGCCACCCCTCGTTATAAGTGTTGCTGTAGGGGTCGAAGAGCCTGGCATTACTGATAAAGTCCACCTGCTCCTGGGGAGTAGACGATTCCCTCATCGCCTGACAGTCCTCTACGGTGTGATGGGAGCTCTCACATCACTGGCAGTGCATCGCCTGCGGCTGTCCTGTACCTGCAATCAAACAAGAACGATCGATAGCTGAAACCAGCTTCGATACCACCTGTACCAAATCAGATGACTGGGTGCCCACAGCATGCACACCCCATCCTGGTGCTCGTCTCGATCTCCTGGCAGTGCCCTAATCGTACCCGTTCTCCGCCATCTCCTCAAAGAGTTAATTCAGCTGTGGCGGTGTTTTGGTCAGCATGTTCCCGCCACAAACCGAATCAATCAGCTGCTTGTCCTCCGGGAAGAGGGCGTGATAGAAGGTGCCCACCTTGAACGCATCATTGAAACCATGATTGGGACACCTGAGGAAAAGACTGGTGTATCTCTCCCAAGCATCCCTGATGGTCTCATCCTCATCCTAAGCAAAATGGGTAATTTGCTTCTGCAGGTCAGCTGTCTTGGATGGAGGATGGTAGCGGGTGAAGAACTTGTCCGCCAGGTTGGCGAACGTGGTGATAGAGCCCGGAGGTCGAGTATCTAGCCACTCCTTGGCTTGCCCCTCCAGGGTGAATGGGAAGTATCTCAGCTGGATGGCATCTGCTGGGACCCCATTGATCTTGATTCCATCAATGAGCTCATGGAATCGCCTGAGATGTGATCGGGGGCACTCCCCCTCTTTGCCACGGAACATCACCGAACCGCGCAGCATGGTGATTACTGAGGTGCTCACCTCAAAATTATTGGCTGGGATATGAGGGTGTTGAATGGGTGACCTCATGTCTGCAGCCCTGGCGGTCCAGTAATGTCCCATGGTTTGCTCCTTGGGATTGACCACATCATGGCCCTGTGGATCAGCCATCTCCTCTTCTTCAGTGATCTGTAGCTGAGCTAGCGCCTCTTCCGCAGCCAGTCGCGCCTTTAGAGCCCGCTTGAAGTTTCTGCAGGTTCGTTCAAGCTCCTGGTCTAGTGGTAGTAGATCTCCTGACTGGCTACGGGTCATGCACTACCTGCACACAATCAGCAGAAGTAACCCGTGAAGGCACACAGGTGGAAGAGATAAAATGCAGTAAATAAAAAACTAGAGTAACAAATTCTCACGTTTCCCCAATAACCTAGAGGTTCCCCGGCAACGGCGCCAAAAACTTGATGCTCTAAAACACAACACCAAACTGCGACCAAGTATAATCGCAGTCCGGGAATGCATTAAAGTGACAAGTTATATTATCAACCCGGGGTCTAGATCTACTGCTTACTCAGTGATTCTCTATTATCTAGCCAACTAAGTTGAGTGTTTGTTGCGTAAAAGCAAAAGCAGAAAGAAAGCAGGAATTGATACGGTTTTCTCAAGCAGGTAAGAGTCACTCGGGAATGAGTCCCCCTAGCTCCTTAGTTAGGTTTCAATTGTATTTCCCTGGGTTGATTTACTGTTGATTAGACTGCAGAAGATCCGACAGTAGCTTGAAATCTCTTAAGCTGACCAAGCCCTCTCAGTCTAACTACCCGGCAGACGACTAGTCTTCACCGGGATAGAAAGCTGAAGCAGTAAGAACAAAACTCCACTACTAGAATTGGATTCCAGTACAAAGCAGTAAACTGGCTAACTCTCGTATAGCCAATCTCCTACTACCGAATGATGAGACTCTAGCAACGTAATCAGATTCTATCTATCTCAGATTGCAGCAGGAATCAGGAAAAGTTGATCAGACTTCAATTGACTCAATAAACTTGCATCATTCGATTAAAATCAAATAGTAATATCATCCCAAGTCATTACAATCAATCCCTAACACATAGAACTAGGGTTCTTCATCCCCAAGTGAGAGAGAGGTTCTACTCCATAGAGAGAGAGAAGAAAACAAGATACAAAGCAGTCATACTCATACTTATGGGAAGAATCTGCTCTGGGATGATGATTTCCACTCCTATGATGATCTCCAAGCTTGATTTGATGAAACCAGCTCCAAGATAACTTCTAGGATGTGTTCTTCGTCCTTTCTCTCTCTAGGGCTATGTTTTTGCTCAAAAAATCCGAATCCCCTTCCTTGGCTCGAATCTTCCTTCAAAAACCCGACTCTGGGTGAAATACGGGCAGAATTACGGCCGTAATCACGGCCTGCCCGTAATTCGCCCAAAACGCGCGTTTCACTTCACTCTGATGGAAGAGGAGCTACGCCCGTAATTTCACAATTACCGCCAGTATTTCATTAATTACGGTCGCAATTTGGTGGATGCTTGCCCGTAATTTTAGTGTCGAGAAGAATTCTTGGCAAAAGTGGCTCGACATTGGTTTTACGGGCATGCCCTGACCAATTACGGTCGTAATTTGGCAGGGGCTGCCCGTAATTTGTCCTGTGAATCACCATCTGACCTCCAAATGACCCGAAACTTGCGCCTATGCACCTCTTTACTTGCTAGGACCTGAAATACGACAAAACAACACAACCTAGCGTAAAATAGGCCAAGGACAAGCTAAAATGGACAGGAAACCAGAGTGAAAACACGTGCAAATACGATGCTATCAATCTCTTTGGGCATCAGGTCAGAAGCTTAGAGATTTATTTGTCACTATAATAACCTTATGTCAAGTTTCAGATATTGGCAGATTATGGGAACGAAATTGGACAATGTTGTCTGATGATATTTTGTACTCCCGTTGGAAGCAACTTAATATGCGTACATTGGAGATGACTGAGTCTCAGTTGAAAGAATGTTGCTTGCTTGAGATTGATAAATTGCTCTCCAGGAATTGCAAAACCATTTCAGACTTTCCAGGATTACCAGTTCCCAGTTTTGATATGTTGCAATCTTCATCTAATAGATTGATCGCTGCAGAGCTTAACTACAATGCCACAGATCTTCATTATAAATTTGATAGTATGATTTCCAAATTAAATTACCAGCAAAGAGTAGCATATGATGAAATTATGGCTTCAGTGTATGGTGACCAAGGAAAGTCATTTTTCATTAATGGTTGTGGTGGAACGGGAAAGACTTTTTTGTGGCAGGTCATTTGTTTGAAATTGCGTTCAGAGCAGAAGGTGGTTTTATGTGTTGCTTCTTCTGGTATTGCAGCCCTTTTGATGGATGGTGGGAGAACAGCTCATTCCCGATTTCATATTCTAGTTGACAGTGATGCGCGATCAACCTGTCATATTGAACAGGGAGGTGAGCTGGCAGAGTTAATCCAACGTGCTTCTTTGATTATTTGGGATGAAGTTGTCATGTCTCATAAACATGTGGTGGAAGCTGTGGATAAATCATTACGAGATATATTACGTTTCCGATATAAAAATAGTGATGAGAAACCATTTGGAGGTCTGACAATTGTTTTCGGAGGGGATTTTACGCAAACCCTGCCTATAGTATTGAAAGGTACACGAGCTGATTCTGACAACTCATCTATTAAGAGGTCTTATTTGTGGCAACATTTGAAGGTAATCAAATTGATCCAAAATATGAGGCTAGCACGTGGCAATCAATGTCCAGAAGAAATGCTAGCAATTGCTGATTTCCAGAATTGGCTTTTGCAAATTGGTGATGGGGTTGATTCAGATGTTTTTCGTGAGTCTACTATTTCAGTTCCACATGAGTTATTAGTATCTCGCCAATCAGATCCTGTTACTGATATTGTGGGTTCAATTTATGGTGATCTTTTGAGTCATTGATAACGATGTAATTGCACGTATTTGCGCCCCTAGTTCTTATCCGTTTGAGGGGCATAGTCGTGTGTTTTTGGCCTATTTTATGCCGGGTTGTGCTATTTTGTCATGTTTCAGGTCCAAGGTGTAAAAGGGAAGGCTAAGCACGAGTTTCGGGGCATTCGGAAGTCATTTCGGTGAAGCTGAGCCAAAACACGGGCACACCTAAAACAGAACACGGCCGTGTTCTGTGGCCGTGCTTTTACTGCCGAGAGCAAATTCGAGTTTGGCAAACATTGGCCAAAACACGGGCAGGGCTGAGATAGAACACGGGCGTGCTTCACCAAAGCACGGTCGTGTCCTCCCAAAAGCACGGCCGTGTTTCTCCTAGTGTAATTAACACTAGCCAAAGCACGGGCGGGCTGAGGCATTACACGACCGTGCCCTCGACCGTGCTTTGGCCACTGATGCCTTTTAAGCAGATTTTCAGCCAAAGAGAAGGGGATTCGAGTTTTTGAGAGAGAGAACGATTCCTAGAGAGAGAAAGCGACGAACAAGAGTCTCCAAGTGCCCTAGATTGATCTTCAACACCATTGAAGGCCAGTTTGAGCATGGAGAAGTGCCGATCAACGTCCAGAAGCAGGAATCCATCCTTCACAGTATGAATTCCGCGTCTGATTTTGCTTTTGCTTCTTTCTCCATGGAGTAGTTCTCCCATTCATCTGGGTATGGAGAACCCTAGATTTGTATGTTAGGCTTTGATTGTATGAACCCAAGTACTGATTCTATGATTGATTATATTCAATTGAGGTTTGAATGATTGAATGACTTGAATCCTGATCAAATTCCTGTTGTTTCTGCTTTAACCTAGAATGAGAATATCTGCTTAGGTTAATAGAGCATCCTTGATTGAAGGTAGGGAGTTGGTGACTTTAGTCGAGGAGCCAACTCGCTATTCTGTACCGGATTTACTCCGGTAGTGGAGGTTTTGTTTGTTAAGGCCTCAATCTGTTTACTCCGGTGGAGGTTAGTCGCCCGCTAGAGACTCAGATTGAGAGGGTCTGAAGACCTTTAGTCGAGACTTCATGCTGTTTAAGAACCTTCCGCAGTATAACTATCATAGAAACTGAACTTGGTAATTACAATCCGGCTTAACTGCAGTCTAGGGGGAACCATATCCGGGTGACCTCTCTTAACCTGAATACAACCGTTTACTTGCTTTGTTAGTTTGATAGTTTAGACTTGCATTCCAGTTTCATTGCTAGATAACAAGAATTCACAGAGTAGTCATCTGATCTAGGACCCGGGTTGACATATAAACCTAACCCGCTATACTACGCTTTAGGAAGTGGTTTCACTTGGCCAATTCCTAGGGTGACAGTAGAAGTGAGTCAGTCATTATTCAGATCATAATTATTTGGTCAGGTGAGCTATTTTGGCACCACACCATGATATGGTTTCTGCAATCAATGAATTTATTTTAGCAAAATTTCCAGGAGATGAGGTGACATATTTCAGCTCAAATTCAATTGAAATGGAACCTGGAAAGGAGGGTGTGGTGGATGCTGATTATACTACTGAGTTTCTGAATACATTGAAGGTTGGTAACTTTCCTGATTATGAACTGAAACTTAAAGTGGGATGTCCAGTAATTTTGATGCGGAATATGGATCAAACAGTTGGGCTCTGCAATGGTACCAGAATGATTGTTAAGACTTTGGGAAATGGTTCATTGAGGTGGAGATCTTGACTGGTACCAATGTAGGTGATCGTGTGTTTCTCTAGACTTACATTGTCAACATATTACAAAAGTCTTGATTTCACTCTCCTTAGAAGACAATATCCTATTGCTCTATGTTTTGGCATGACTATTAATAAAAGTCAGGGACAAACACTCGATCATGTTGGCTTATGTCTCCAGAGGCAGGTTTTCAGTTATGGCCAACTCTATGTTGCATTGTCCAGAGTTACAACAAGGCAAGGTCTCAAAATCTTGATCGAGAATGATAATGGTGAAGACCCAAACTCGATGCTAAAAATAGTATTCCCAGAAATTTTTGATTGAACTTTCCAGTTGCAGTGTGGTTTGCGTGATCAGACATGTGATTAATTTGCCAGATTTATTCCTTTGTAAAACAGCTTTGCTTCTGTTTGGCTATAAATCTCAAACTTGCTTCCTGTTTATTTAAGCAATTCTACCCATGTCTACTGTTTAAACTAGTAGTAGTGATATGTATGTTTTATTAACAGATTATTATTCCCCTGGAGAACAAATGGATCATTTGGTGCATTTGTTTGTTATTAATTTATTTTTTTACATGAACAGTGGAGTTTTATTGCAATTAAGTGTCATTAGTTCTAATTAGGATCTATTTTGATTTACATTTAAGATTTATTATTGTTCGGCTAGGGCTTCTATTTGATCACAATCTGATATAGAAATGGGCTTCTATTTTGTTGTCATTCTCAATTTCAAGATTAGTCACCTCTAGCCCATATTGAAAGCCCACACAAAACTCAAGGGCCATAAACCTGCAATACAATTAACTGGCGGTGAAGCCATAGGGAACCCTAGCGTCATATTTGTATTTGCGGTAGATTGGTCTCTATGTGGTGCCGCCGGCGAAATCATCTTCATGTTTCCATCTCCAACCAAATTCCAATCCTATTACCAACAATCGTTTAATCAGTTTGCCAATCTCGCCCAAATACATACCTCCCGTTAGTTGATTTACATTAATTCTTATCAAGTTTAGCACTGAGGTGAAGATGATTAGCTTGGAACGGGGTCTGAAATCCGGAGATCTAGGAGTCAGAATTAGCCGCATAGAAGACACCAAGTTAGAAGGAATTCTCAAATTTTGTGAGTTATATTTACAAAATGAAGGTCACAGTTGCCCAGAGTTACAGTTATTTCCATCCATCAATAATCTTCCGCGGGAATCGTCCGAGTGTGTGCAGCAGCCCTCCATTCCGAAAATGTAGCTTTGCGTGGCCGACGTGGCTTTTTCAAAGTTGAAGTAACTGCTATTGTCTTCGGGAAATATATATATCAGCTTACAGACAGCAGTTCACAATTTTCTTTGCTCATTTGCTCTTCTCTCAGGTATCAATTCGCGTTCAATTTTTGTAACTGTATTTACTGATTTGCTGCAATCCTGTAGCTCTTCAATAACCTCCTTTTTTGTTGCTGTGTCTCTAGAATGAATTCCCAGAGCATTCGCGACCTCGAGTCGGAGAAGGAGATTTGGTCAGGTAAATGTCGTGTCTCTAGAATGTGGCTTGGAGCGAATGTACATACAAACAAAGTTCTCCATTTGGACCTCATTCTGATGGATTCAAAGGTAATCACTTCTTTCATGGCGTATGAAATTTCTGTTTCAAAATGAGTACTGTTTTTTAAAATTTAGTTTTCGTTTCCATGTCGAAGGGCAATGATATCTGGGTACAAATCCCCCCCTGTGTTGATAGAAAAGTTTAAGAAGTTGCTGAAGGAGAACCATGTTTACATTATCAAGAACTTCGATATGAATACAACTGGACTGAAATATCGACCCATTGGGAATCCATATTTGATACAATTTAGTAGGAAGACAACTGTTCATCATGTTCCTGAAGTCCCTGCAATTCCGACCTTCATATTCAGTTTCCTAAATGCAAGTCAGATGGCAGGCAAAAAGGGTTATATTGATATCCTCTCAGGTTACTTCTTCATTCTTACATGTCTTTTCATCTAGAAAATAATGTGTATCTGATTTTATTTTATTAAATGATTTGTTGTAGATGTTGTTGGCCAATTGCACACACATTCAGAGGCAATTACTACTACCAGCCTTACCCTGAAAACTATAAGGAAGGAGTTCACATTGCAACTGATTGAGTGAGTTTCTTTGATATCTTTGACATGAAAGGCATTTAGAAAACATCTGTTGAATCTGATTGCTCATTATCTGGTTGGTTTTTCTTTTATCTGTTGAGGGAGCACTATTGCAATTTCGCCATTCATGTTTGTTTGCACGATCAGTTTTTTAAACATCTTAGATATTTATTTCAAATTCATGTAGGGGTGATGTTGTCAAAGTGGTTATTTGGGGAAGATTTATTCAACGGTTTGATAAGATTATTGATGATCATGGTGATGATCAGACTATATTGGTCATTTCAGCTGTTAGTGTGGGTGAATTCAAAGGTGACCTTATTATTTATTCCCTTCCTTACGTATAATAATGTTATGAGTGGCAAAAGCAGACTCATTTTTGGTTTTTGTAGGTGAGTTATCATTTTCATCTTCAGGGTCAACAGTTGTGTATCGTAACCTCGATATTCCAGCTGTCAAAGCTTTTGCTACCGGGTATTCATCACCCTACTTTGTTTATGACATTGCGTTGTTGTTTAGTTTTTGTTTATTTATTGATTTTTTTCTTCTTCAAATAAGTACTGTGCAACTAGAGCTGCCTGTCTTTGTGGAACCACCTCCACCTCCTCAATTCCCTGATATTTCACTTTTCGAACTTCTGCAATTATAAGAGGATCCAGATTAGGAGGTTACTTCTATGGTTTTTCATATTTCTTATACTATTTGCATTTTCATTTCATTAGAGACTCATAGTAAATATATTTGGTATTAGGAAATGGTGTTTGCTGTTGAATGCAAAGTTGTTGGAATTAAATCGGGCTGGTTATATGGGGTGTCCTACCTGTGTTTTGAAGCCTATACAAAGGCATAATGAGTACTATTGTGTTAGATGCAACAAGGGAATATCAGCCAAGGCTGCCAAGTAAACATCTCCTACTTAGTTGAAATTCATTATTCTTCTTCATTGAACTGTAATTGCTTCCATTATTATTATTTTTTTTTTGAAATTCCTGATTTGTGTAGATACCGTGTTCAACTTGAAGTTCAAAGTGATTTGAAGTCAGCAGTATTTGTACTCTTCGAGTATGAAGGGAAGCGGTACTTTGGATTGACTGGTCATGAACTATTCCAGAAAAATGGGCACAATGGTGACTTGCCACCTGATGAATTGCTTCAATTGGTAGGTCTGACCAAGAAATTCCATGTCAAATTCAAGATCAACTTTTTTGCTGATTCCCAAGCTGATTTTACTGTGCTGAGAATACTAGAACCCACCCCACAGGACAGTAGATACCCCTGCAAGTAGTTTTCCTCTTTAAATAAGAATTAAGTGTTATGATCACTTTTCTATCTCAGTTTTGATCTAGGTTGTAGTCTTTTTTTCCCAGTACAGAATCCTATTAGAAATTCTTTTCTGGCTAATGTTACATTTGGATATCATAATCTCAGGGAGAAGGTTATATGATTCACAAAGATGGATCATCTTCATATCTATTGCGAGTGGGCCTGCATCTTCTCAACCCTCCTCTGATCAGTCTGGACAGTCTGCTACTGAAAAATCGATTGAAACACCAATGGACTCTGATGCAACTCCAGACAACAAACTGAAGAGGAAGATGCCCTTGGAGTGATTGCAACGCCAACAAGGAATTTGTTGCAGCTAGTATCTGTTTATTGCATTTCTTTTGTGTTCCAGAGTTTCTCATGTGTTTGCTAAGGACTGAATGTTGGTGGTTTACACTTGGACTTAGAATTGTGAACATATTTTAGATTCTTAAGATTTTTCTGAATATTTCAATTGGGCATTATGTAGCATATACATGTCTAATTTCACTATTACTAAATTTGTTCTGAATTCTTGGAATGGTTCCAAATTCCATACTGATGCCAGATATGGGCGTGGGTGCAGGCCCATTCAAAACATTTAATTTTTAAAAGGTGGAGGGACCAATTCAGCCCCAGCTATTTGGGGCTGCTTGCCCATTTAAGATTTTAAATTTGCCAAATTAAATGGTTTTGAAATGATTTATCACTTGATATTTTTTGTTAATTGCATCCTTTGTATAGATGTCCATATATCGGACATTTTCAGATTTTATCAATGATTCAATATACAGATGAACCTATAATTTCTCAAGGTAGTCCTGACATTTGACAATTTTGGAAATTCCATGTATATTACATAAGTATTCTGAATAGTTTATATGACCAAAAGTTCATCATAGAATTGTATTTAGTTGGAATTAGCTGTTGCAAAAGTGTATTGCAATTTAATGGTTACAAGTTGATTGTATTACCAGTAGGTTAGAAGTTTGAAACCTGAAATTGACAATTTTGTTTTCAAAATTACCTTTTAAACTCAAATTTGGTATGGTTTATCAATATTAATAATTTACAACTTCTTTGGATTTGCCAAGCCAAATGCTATTTCAGCATCGCCTCACAAATTATAAAATCATGATCCCTTTGTTTTTTATTGGTCTTGTTTCCTCAGTTCTGCCCCACTTACATTTTTATCTAAATTGATTATTTCATCGTGTTTGAGTAAATTATTAGTTGGCAAGTCTGCACTCCACGGGCATCTTCAAATACGGAAGTGAGTCAATTATTATTTGATCAGTGAGCACTGGGGTAGCAAGTGAGTTACACTAGATAATAGATGATGAAATGCAAATATGTACTATGTCCGTATTCAACGTAAGTTGTAAATTAAAAAAAGTTCAACATAGAAACGTATTTATTCTTGATAAGCTGTTGCAAAAGTGGTTGGCAATCTAACGTTTACAATTTGATCGTATCACCAGTAAGTTAAAAGTTTGAAACCTAAAATTGACAATTTTGTTTTTCAAAATCATTTTTAAAAGTAAAAATTGGTGTGTTTTAAAAAATGAAACATAGAAATGTATTTAGTCTGGATAACCTGTTTCAAAATTGCTTGGTAGTCTAACAGTTACAAGTTGATCCTATCACCAATAGGTCAGAAGTTCGAAACTTAAAATTGACAAAAAAAATTTCAAAATCACTTAATTTAATTGATATTGTTGTGCTTTATCAAAACAAATATTAAATCAATTGTTCTAACTACCACAACCCACTCTCTCCATCCCTCCCGGACACTAATCCCACACCCCACATAACCTATTTTTATATTTCCCTTTTAATTGTTTAGCATGCCATTTTCACTTAATATTATCTCACACCCAGGTTATTTGATTGCCGAATATCCACAACAGTTTTGTTCCTTTACCAACTTCCATTCCCTGGTTTTGGTGTTCAGAATAATCGACTGATGAAGGTGAATTAAAGTTGAATGCAAGACATGGTGTATACAGCTTTACGTGAGTTGCAGGTTTCCCATGGGCAACAATGGTCTGTTCGAGTGAGAATTTTGCGTTTATGGAGGACTTTGTTAGCTGATATAGATGAAACTCTCTTCCTACCAAGGTTGTCAACCCCCGGGTCGACCCGCGGGTTGACCCACTTTGACCCTGACCCGGTGAGAAAAACGGGCCGCACGCACTCGCCGGGTCGACCGCAACAAGGTACCGGGTTGGAGGTCAAATTGTGTCATTTTTTTCTTTGTTTTGCGAAATGCGCCTATTTTCCGATTTTTCTTTTCGCCTAACTCAATCTTTGGAATCCTAAGTTGAACATTTGAATATTAATGTTATATAAGTATGTGTGAATTTTCACTATATGTTGAATCTAAGTACGAAATCTTATTTTGGTGTAATATTATATGTTATAACTCATATGTTAGATGAGATTTGATATAATTTATCAGGATAAGTACAATATAATGACGTTTTCCATATTTCCGGGCTAAACTGGGCTAAAACGGGTGACCCATTAACCCTTGACCCACAAGCTCAACCGGGTCCGGGTCAACCCGCGGGTTGACAACCTTGCTTCCTACACATGTTGTTGCTAGATAGTGAGGTTAGTACGTTTATTGATTTCCTTATTACGTTTCATGTTGTGTATCATTTACCCAATACAAGCTTCTAACCGTTCAAGTTTTTTACTTAAAAACGACTTGCAGGGAACAGAAATGGAGGCTGTTATTCACCGCCTTGAAATCCCGACATCCTTACCAGCCATACAACAAGGAGGAATCTACCAGATTGAAAATTTTGATGTTGATTCGTATGAAGTTTCTTTTCGGGTTGCAATGTCAACTAAGCGAATCTCTTTTCATCCTAACACTGGTTTATATCGACTGCCAAATGCTGCAGATATATCATTATTCAGCTTTTGGTTCCTAGGTCGTGCTGATTTCTTTGATGTTGTTCAAAATGATCAAATATTTTCAGGTAAGCAAATCCTTAACCAGATAGAGAACTCCCAGAAGTTATGGTTGATGTTATTATTTGAATGATCATAACATTATCTTGATATGATGTGTAGATCTGTTAGGTGAAATAGACGTTGTAGAACCAACACAAACAATTTATCATCATGGTGTTGTTCAACGAAGCAAACATGTTTTCCTAAGGCTGTTTGAGTAAGGCTTTTTTATCTGTACCCTAATTTCCAGTGTGTTTGCTTAAAAAATGGAAATAATGATCTTCTAATTTTAGGGGAATTACAGTCAGAGTTTTACTATTCAACTCTTGCATTGGGGAATTTGAGGGTCTGAATGAAGCTGATCCAGCACCAGGAACTGTTGCTATCTTCACTTCAGTTTATGTCTACATGAATGATAGTACGTAAATATGTTGATGTGCTACTAATACATTTAATGACCTACTCTAATGAAGTACTTGGTTTTTGTAGATCAATTCTATTTTATAGCCTCATTTGCAAGTAATGTCTACTTGAATTTGCACTATCCACAACTTCATATTTTGTTGAATAAGTAAGTTAATTTCTTTATATCTAGAGTTGAATTCTATTCAATTTGGTTAGGGTAACTCAATTTGTATGCATCTATAATTGCATCTTCGTTAATTGGGTTCTAAATTCAACTAACATGTTTATCAGATCTAGCAACTTGCTTATCAGTCACCATGATTATATTGACTATTCATTGGAGGCAGCAATGGAAGTGAGTGAAACAAGTTCTGTGTTACATCCCGACCTTTGTGTTCAGGTTCGACCATAATACGTGAACGGTTACGTACTAAGGATTACAATCGCGGGCTAGGAATAATAATAATAATATAATAACAATTATTTAAAAAAATAAAATAATAAACCCTAAAGTTACTCGGCGTCTCGGCCTCAGCCCAAAGAGCAAAACCCTCGCTACTTCACCGAAATCAGCTTGGACGAGGGAGGGCAAAAGCAGTCTCGTGTCAATTACAGCGGAGAAGCGGGCGATTGCTCTCGCAGCAGCGGCGCATCAAGAATCTGCTGCGATGGCTATCTACTATGAGAGCAGTTTGCTTGGCTGAGGCGGCAGTGGGATGAGCAGCTTGCTTGCCCCGAAGAGAGCAAGGGACGCGGGCCTGCTTTCCGCCATCAAGAGAACTCCCCCAATAATGGACGTGCCTGGTTGTTCTGCTCTACTCCGCCAGGTGCTTGATTAAAAGCAGCAGCTTGGACCAGCCTGCTTGCACTCTCCAACGGCAGCAAAGCAAAGCAAAGCAAAGCAAAGCGGCGGACTACTCTCCCTACAACGAGAGCTGTGTGCTTAAGCAAGCTCCTGGCGGCTCCAAAATCGGCGCCAGGGGAAGCAGGCAGGAGGCTGGGTTGCTCGCTAGGGAAGTCAAACAGCCACCAAACCTGCCTTGTAGTAACCAAGCTGGTCCAGAATAAATTGCTCGCGAGGGGAGTCTCCACTGGGTTGCTCGTGAGGGGAGTCTCCAGGAGGCCGGACTCGCTGTCGGCGCAAATCTGCAAATTAAGGAAGCTGGTCCAAAATAAAGAAGAGGTGCTAGCTTGCTGCATAAAAATCTCCAAAATACGAAGAGAGGTACTAGGTGAAGCAAGTTGGTCCAAACTAAAGAAGCAAGCAGCTCCATTAGTGGGAAGCGAGGCATACCAACGGGTGGAAAGAGCAGCTTGCTTGAGAGCAGCTCGATTAAGCAAACTGGTCCATTTTATTTCGATTGGGTGAGGCAAGCTGCTCCTTCCAATTGTGCCAAGTACGAGTGTAATAAGTTGGAAGCGAGTGGAGCAAAATCAGAGCCAGTTACGAACGGAGGAAAGGTGAGTGTAAAGGGGGTAAATTCTACGCCTTACGTATTCTTTTAAATGTTATGATTTTAAGTATTTTAGTGAATGGATTATCATTGCTTGATTACGTTTATGATTGATTATTTGTTGAGGTGAGTTGGGTTATTTACCTTAGAGTGTTATGCTATGATTCATTGTTAAAGTTTAAGAACCAAATTGTTTTCAAGAAGGTGAAGTCGTTTTAAGTGTTTTTAGTCGCTAGCGCCAGTCCGTTGCCATTTCAGATTTTCAGATAGAGCAGCAGTTATGCTCTTGAGATCTTTGAGACAGAGCAGCAGTTATGCTCTTGAGACTTTTAAGATGGGCAGCAGTTATGCCCTTGAGAATCGTGGTGAAGAGCCACCACGATAAGTTTAAGATGTTAGGGGGATGAATCGTTACGACTTCCCTAACTAAGTTTAAGGAAAGCCTAGACGGCTTCTCATACGTATGAGTTGGCAACCGGACTAGCTAGTGAGGGATCCCCGTGTCAGTCAAGTATTTAAGTCAAGATTTGAGTTTTAAGAGAGGAGAGTCACTTCAACTCCCTTAAAGTTTAAGAGTTAAGATTTTTAAGTTTGGAAGTACAAACAGCTTCCACTAGTCAAAATTAAGTGCTAAGCAGTAAGAATCTAAAACGTAAGAGCGTAGACTCACCCCATCTCACTTACCAGTTTGAAGAGTTAGAGGAGCAGTTAGAGAGCAGCGGGATCGAGAGGAACAGTTCGAGTGAAGCTAGCTAGAGGAGGACGGTACGAGCGTCCCAGAGGTTGTCTAGTCAGAGTTTTTCAACAAGCAGCAACACTTGAGGCTAGTTAGTTATTATGTTCTATGATTATGAGTATAGACTGGAGATCAAGTTGATTTTTCAAAGTTTGAGTTTAATTTGCCCACATGTTAGGGCTTTGCATTGAACTACAAGTGTGTTTTCAGTATTTTATTTATGAAAATTTTTCCCGCTGCAATTTAAGATTTGAGCATTTTATTTATCAAGGGCATTTTAGTAAAAGTAGTACTCGGCCGGGTTAGGGTGTTTCATTTTGGTATCAGAGCGGGTCTTCCTCTGTTGCTTGGTCTCCAAGGAATTCTGGAATATCGGTCTCAGTTTTAAAGGCTTTTGTTTTAAAGGAAGGAGAAAACTAGTCAAGGATCTTCTTTTAAGAGTTTATAGGATCTCCAGTCGACTCTAATCATATTAAGGGGAATAACTATGACAGCAAGGCACGAAGGGAGGGTAGACCAGGGTGCGATTGTTTAAGAATAGACTAGGACGCGATTTAGTTAACATGTCGTGGTTTGTCAAATGAGAGATTTATGCATATGGTGATCGCCAGTAAGAATGAAAGGATGAAAGAAACGTGACCAACCCAAGTAGAATCTCAAAGGCTCTCAAGACCAAGTATCTCATCGACATGATGGATAGTAGTTTTTTTTTCAATCAGTTAACCAACTACTCGGACGTTAGCAAACAGATCATCATCATCAACCTAGAGAAGGAAGGAGGAACGTAGCAAAGGTCTATGGAAGTAGATTCAAATAAGCGAGGACTTCAACTCCAAACACCAGCAAAGAGGTGCCAATTGAAAGGGAATACCTCAAGGATTTTGAAGGAGTTGAGAGAGTAGTACGAGGATTTACTACTAGAGAAGAGGGTACATGACCCTGGGGAGTTAGGGTGATAGCAAGCCTTTAAAAGGAACAAGACAAGAAACGAGATAAATGATGTAGAGGTTGGGGTTAGATCATGCATGCTGTATACCTGTCAAGCGCAAGCTAGAGGACAAGGTATGGGAAGGGGTTGAGAGACCCTGCAAATTACCATGATCAAGGAGAATCAGAAAATCGTGGAATTTCAAGGAATCCATTGGGAAGGTCTAAAGTGGGAACTAGAGGGCCATGAGCGGGAGTCTCGGAACCAGCCGTAGGAGTAAATCATTCAATCAACCGGGTATAGATAAGCAAGTACAACGTTCATTAGAAGTTCTAATGAATGTTGGAGAATTCGAGGAGGAGCCTAAACGATCGTAATGAAGAGAGTTTGCGAACAATACCAAGGAAGATCAAAAAGGCCAGAGGGAGTTTGACGAGATTTCAAGAAGTCAATGGGTCAAATCTTAGGTGACTCGAGGTCAAGAAGCTGCACAAAGAGGTACGATGAGGGAAAGCATTACCAAGAAGAAGGAAATCATTAAGTTACCTTACCTAGGTCTGCTAAACGGTACAGTATCCGGTTTACCGTTGTACCGGTATCGGTATTACCGGAACTCCCTTAAAGGCCGCCGAATACCGCTACCGATACACAACCGGTATGCCGGCTACCGAGTGACAACGGTATCGGTAATGGGCTTGTATACTGACTTACCGATAGAAAGGTAAGGGGGCCTGGCGGGCGCGGGCCTGTCCACTGTCCGTAAGTTGTTTGTTTGTCTCGCCTCTGGGCTCTGGCCCTCTGCGGTCCGCCTGCCCCTGTCAGTTGTCACCGCCAAATTGAAGAACAGAAGAAGACAAGAAGTAAACAGGGGAAGGGAGCATTATATTTATGGAGCAGAAAGACCCAATTACATTCCATGATTCCAATTTCCAAGTTCCAACCATTCCAAAAGTTTGGGAAGTGTATCCCGATGGGTAGCAGTACTCAAGAGTCAAGTCTCAAATCAAATGTCAGTACTCAAGTATGAAATCAAATGTCAAAATGTCGGCTAATTAATTAAAAAAAATCAAAAAAGATCTAACAAGTAAATTCCGAACATCAAATTGAAAAATGAAAATACTTAAAAAAATAAGATCAAATATAGCATTATAGTTGTACGTAGTACGTAGAATTCCAAATAGAGCATAGAGCAATTGGGTCTGCTGCTTCTAAATGTTTAAATTAAATTTGAAGACATGAAGATAAAAAATAGAATTACTAGTTCCTCACTTGCCACTAGGACCTGTACCACCAACATCAACAAAACCTTGCTGCTTCAAAGTGGTGCGAAGGTTATCATCACCGTTATCCTCCTCGTCCTGGTCCTCCTCATCCTGGTCCTCCTCATCCTCGTCTGAATCTTCCTCCTCTTCCTCCTCCACCACAACAGGTAAACTTTGTTTGACACCTTCACTTGGCTTGGCAGTAGCACTCTCCATTCGAGTTTGGAAGTTAGTAGTGACTAAGTGTAAAAAAAAATACAAATTGTTAGAACTTGAGTAATGGAAAACTTAAAAATAAATGAAATTAATAATTCTTACCACTTTCATAATCGATTTGGTCTTGATTTTCATCTTCTGTATCATCAACTTTGTCTGCTTTCTTTCCTCCTTCATACCTTATGCAGTCTTCAGCACAAATCAAGGCCTCTACAATGGTGGGGCTCAACGAAGACCTAAACGGACTGAGCACTCGACCTCCACAACTGAAAGCAGCCTCTGAGGCAACAGAGGAGACTGGAACAGCTAGGATATCCTTAACCATCTGGGAAAGAATAGGATATCTAACGATGTTCTTACTCCACCACAGCAAGATGTCAAACTTCATATCATTATCATCCTCGTTAATAGCATCATCAACATCTCTTAAGTAAATGTCTAGCTCAGAAGAACCTCGAATCCCCCTCTATAGTTGCTCTTTTCTCATCTTGAAGAATTCAACATCAAATGTCCCTCCATAAGATGCAGATCTAGTACCATCATCAGCACTAGGAGTGGTAACAGTAGGCTCTGAGGGTTGAGGTGCATACTTCAATCTGTAAACCTCAAACATTGCAGTCATCTCTGCAGTAACATCTTTCACCAAATCGTCTCTTTTCTTCTGCCCATACATCTTACCCCACATCCAATACAAATAAGCCATTTTACGCCTAGGATCTAGCACACAAGCCATGTAAACCAGCCTATTTATCCTTAGGTTCTCCACCTAGTCATCATCATCATCATCATTCTCAAACCAATACTTTCGTACCTTTGCCTCCATTCTTGCTGCCATCCGTTGTATCTCTACATCCATGTCTTTCTTAAAAAGTTCTATCACTTCATAGATGTCAGCAATAGCCTTGAAGAAAGTATGAGCAGTCACATAAGATGTTCCTAATACATCAAAAAATAACAACAAATTATTCACAAATTAGTAATTAGTAATTACAATTTACAAGTTAATAAAAGTAAAAACCATGAATTTTAATAGGTGGAGTTATGTTTGTTCACATACCTGATACCCAAAAGGTGAGCTCATAAAAGAACTTCAAATACTTCATTAGCCGTCGAATACCGCTCCATTCTTCCTTAGTTGGAAGACCTCTCTTTGAATCCACATAATCCCGAAATGCAGAATCATTGGGGCTTGCATGCAAGAAGTTAAAGACAGTCTCAAACCTTTCTGCAGATTCCAACATCAAATAGGTTGAGTTCCACCTAGTTGGAACATCCAAAGATAGAAGTCTTCTTCCATCCATTGATAGATAATCAATGGCAGATTTGAATTTTGCACTTCTACCTGGTGATGACTTCACCCATTTAACACAATCTCGAACCCTTTCTACAGCAACTCCAACCTCCTTCAACCCATCCGACACAACCAAATTGATTATATGTGCCACACATCGAAATTGCAAATACTTCCCACCAATCAAATCTGTTCCCCACTCCTTCATCTTTGTTCTCATACACTCTGCAAGAACATTATTAGAAGAAGCATTATCCATGGTAATGGAGAACAACTGTTGAGCTTTCCAATCTTGTAGACATTCTGCCAATTT